CGAAGAGCATGCTGTGCTCTTGCAGAGAACCTGAGCTCGCAACTGTCTGGGACTCCAGCTCCAGAAGCGTATGGTACTTTCTGGACCCCGTGGGCACCTGTACACACACACACACACACACACACACACACACACATACACACGCTTCTTAAAAAGTTAAAAAAAAATAACTGAATTGAAACAATTTCACTAGTGGAGGTTGACCATAACAGCTTTCGAGAAGGGGAAGTAAGTGAGGCTGACATATGAATTTCATATTTTAAATCCCACCTCTAGCAGCTACAAGGCACTTAAATTGCATAAAGAGTCAGAATGACCCACTTATAGGGGCAGAAATATTTTCTCTTTTTTTGGACTTCCCTGTTTTGTATTATTTCAGTTATGAAAGTCACAAGCAGTGCTTGCTGAGCTGCAAGGGCAGAGATGCTTCCAAGATGTTCCATAGCCATCAGGTTCTTAAATTTCTCTTCCTCTGTCTGAGGCAGTCTTTGTGTAAGTTCACTGCATTAATTAGGGGACTATGTTTTTAGTGGTTGATAATGTTACCTACCTAATCAAACCAACCAGTACACAGAAATTAGTGACATTGTGTCCCCGCCTTAGGAATAGAACAAGTATAACTTCTTAAGAATTGTACAGTTTTTAGAGCATGCCACATATAATAATCAAGGAATGTAAGCATCCTGATTACGGTTTCTATTGCTGCAATGAAACACAATGACCAAAAAGCAAGTTGGGGAGGAGAGGATTTATTTGGCTTCCACTTCACTGTTCATCATTGGAGGAAGTCAGGGCAGGAACTCACACAGGGCAGGAACCTGGAGGCAGGGGCTGATACAGAGGCCATGGAGGTTGCAGCTTATTGGCTTGCTCCCCTGGATTTTCTCAAACTGCTTGTTTAGAGAACCCAGGACCACCAGCCCAGAGGTGCTTCCACCCACGATAAGCCAGGCCCTCCCACATCAATAACTAAGAAAATGCCTTCTGTACAGTCAGGTCTTATGATGGTCCCTCCTCTCAAATGACTCTAGCCTGTTAAGTTGACATAAAACTATCCAGAACAGTGGGTTATACCATTATTCTTGTTCCAAGGAATTGAGACTGGTCCAGATTCACACAAATCTAGTTTTTAAAAGTTGTCTTTTTGTTTGTTTGTTTGTTTGTTTGTTTGTTTGAGACAGGGTTTCTCTGTGTAGCTTTGGCTGTCCTAGATTTCCTTTGTAGACCAGGTTAGCCTGACACTCATAGAGATCCACCTGCCTCTGTGTCCCCAAGTGCTGGGATTATAGGCATGCTCCACCAGGCCTGGCTAAACTGCCATTTTAATTCTTGATTCCAAATAGTTTTTCAGTTACCTTGCCCCACTGATGCTATCACCAAATCTTCACCGTGTTTATGTCTCTATGTACCCAATTCTGTGTCCTCTGATCTTGGTTGTGACCTTGACACATCCAGGAGGAGGGGACTTCGAATGAAGAGGTTCCTCCATCATATTCATATGCAGTCAAATCTGAGGAATTGTTTGGTTGATGATTTAGGGAGGCCATAGGCCAGCTCACTGGGGGCGGTGCCACACTTGGGCATGTGGCTCTGAGCTGTAGGAGAACGCTGGCTTAGCATGAGGCAGTAAGCAGCCTTCCTCCATGGGCCTCTTCCTTGGCTCTTGCCTTGACTTCCCTCTGTGAGTTGATAGAAACCCTTGCCTCCCAAGCCGCACTTGATCGGGCTGTGCATCACAGCAACAGGGAACATACCCGAACAGGTCTAGTTTCTAGTTACCTAGTTTCCATGTTTTCCTGTAGCAAGAACAGTCCATGTTAATGACTTCCCCCTTTCAGACAGAACTAGAAGTTTCTACAAAGAAACCATCAACATAATTCTACCTCAATGTTGATGTAAGTTATTTTTCTTGTATGTGTGTGTGTGTGTGTGTGTGTGTGTGTGTGTGTGTGTGTGTGTGT